ATTAAAGTATTTCAAGCCAAAGCCAAGAGCCATCTGCTGCTTTGGGGACTAAACTTTGTGGTCTCCGTCTTTTTAGGTTAGGCCAAAGACTCTCATTCCAGACAGCCTTCCCCACAGCCCATGCCGAGAGCAGCAGTCCGGTCAAACGCTGGCCGTGTCGCAGAGCATGGCTGTGGTCAGCCCAAAGAGCCAAGGCGCATCTTTGCCAACTGCCAACAGCACCTTCAGTCACGAGAGACTCTGCAACAGGCAGCAAGAGAGTTCCTCTTTGCCCTCGTCTGTGCCGAGCACATCCACAGCCTCTGTAAGTCAAGGGGTGGCTTATGCCATCATCTCAGCAGCCTCGCCTCCAGCCCATGGGGTGTCAGGAGTAACCGAGGCCATTAAGGTGCAACCGCTGATTTTCAGCCCTGACAGCAAGGTCAGAAGTTCTTTTATCACCTACTTAACAATTAAACATGCTGCTCAGCATGCTGAATTAGTTTTGAACTTGCATGATGCTGTTAGTGTCACGCTGTGGCAAATGCTAATTAGATGCACAGTATGTGTTCAGTTGATTTAAGATTTTTAATGTGTGTATCCAGGTTATAATCATTCAGCCCCAGATTCCCAGCAACTCCAAGAGTTCTCCGGCCTCACAAACTAACAGTCCTGTCAAGAAGCCAAGCCCTCACCCCTCAACCCCATATAAAAACGAGGAAGATCCAGAGGTACACTCACAACCAGTTTCAACTGTTAGAAAAAAAAGTTTGTATTACAGTTAATTGTTGATATGACCAGTGCACTTAGACAGGAAGAGACCATCTGATTGACATGGCAGTGACTAATTACAGCAGTGTTGTAATACTGGAGGCCAAGACAGGACTCGGACTGTCAAGTTCGAGATTGAGACTATATTATCTATGACTAGTCGAGACTCGTTTATTAGAGTCTGAGTCCAGGCCGAGTCCAAATATTCCTGAAAATATAGTCTTGAACTCGGACTTGTGGAAGACTTGAGTCTGTGTCTGGTATTGTCTGGACTTGAGTACTACAACATTGAATTACAGTTCATCCAAACCATTTTCTTATTCTTGGAATCTTGCGACTTACAGTTGAGGAATACAACAAGCGATGTATCTTAAGATGGCAATAAACACGAGAAGTGCCCATTATACAAGGTTTCAGGAATCATTCAAAATAGTAAAAAGCTAGGACAGGAGGATAATAAGAGAACAGAAAAAGTTAAGGCATAGAATTAAAAAAATATATATTATTATTAGGCAGTTAGATCGGAAGATTCACGGAAGAAATTAGTTTTCAGTTGTTTCTTGAAGATTGTGGGGGATTCGGCCGTTTGGATGTTGGAGTTGGGTAGGTCATTCCACCAACAGGGTACGGTGAAAGAAAACATCCTTGAGAGTGATTTTGTGCAGCCACTCATTTACCGACCACAGGCTTCTGGAGGGGATGTAGATGCATAGGAGAGAGCGGAGGTAGGAGGGTGCGAAGCCTGTGGCAGTTCTGTAGGCAAGCACCAATGTCTTGAACTTGATGCAGGCCATGACTGGAAGCCAGTGCAGAGAGATGAGAAGCAGTGTGACATGGCTCTCTTGGGCTCATTGAAAACAAGACATGCTGCTGCATTCTGATTGCACATGTTGGAAGTCCAGCCAGTAGAACACTGCAGTAGTCCAACCTAGAAATGACAAGGGCCTGGATGAGAAGCTGTGTTGCATGCTCTTTTAGGAAGGGTCTGATTTTCCTGATGTTGTGTAGTGCAAACCTGCATGATCGTGCTGTTTTTGCAATGTGATCTTCAAAGGTCAGCTGATCATCAAGGATCACCCCAAGATTCCTGGCCGAACTCGATGGGATTATCGTTGATGAGCCCAGTTGGATGGTAAACTGGTGCTGATGGGGTGGCTGGGAAGATGAGAAGTTCTGTCTTTGCCAGGTTGAGCTGCAGGTGATGCTCTTTCATCCATGCCGAGATGTCCGTCAGGCAGTCTGAGATCCAAGCAGGTATTGTTGAATCATCTGGTTGAAATGAGAGGGAGAGCTGCGTGTCATCAGCATAGCAATGATAGGAAAAACCATGCGCCTGAATGATGGGTCCCAGTGATGTAGTGAATATAGAGAAGAGGAGGGGCCCAAGAACTGATCCCTGAGGAACCCAGAGACCAGTTGATGTGATTTGGATACCTCTCCTCCCAAGCCACCCTGAAGTACCTACCTGTGAGGTAAGACTCCAACCAGTGGAGTGGAGTGCAGTTCCGGTGATGCCTAGCAATGAGAGGGTGGACAGAACGATTTGATGATTAACAGTGTCAAATGCAGCAGATAGATCTAGGAGAATGAGAACTGAAGGTTTGAACTCAGCTCTTGCACTCCGTAGCGCTTCACTGACTGATAGCAAAGCGGTTTCAGTTGAATGGCCACTTTTAAATCCAGATTGGTCATTGTCCAGCTGGTTGTTCTGTGAGAGGAAGGAAGACACTTGCTTGAAAACAATGCTTTGAAGTGATTTTGCTATGAAAGGGAGGAGAGACACTGGCCTGTAGCTTTCATGCCTGTTAGAAGAGATGTGTTGATGATGTGTGTGAGTGAAGGCAGAAGTGCAGGGGAAATAACTTGTAAGAGATGTGTGGGGATGGAGTCTAGAGGACAGGCAGTAGGGTGGCTGGAGAGAATAAGTTTAGAGTAGAGATGCACCGATCGATCGACTAGGGATCGGAATTGGCCGATTTTCCTCATGATCGGCCCGGATCAGTGACCGGCCGGTCAGTCTCACTTCTTTCTGATTCCGAGCCGATCCAATTTGTTACCAGCGGCACAGGCA